ATATTATATTTTTTAGTGGCAAATTTTTGGGCATGATTTCGTGAATTTTACAAAAAAAGGGATTTCAAAAAAAACACACAAAGGGAAATTCAAAAATCGGATCCTGTAGAGATGCAACAAACCCGAGTACTTCGGATTTGGTATTAGGGATTTGGATTCGAAATAAGATTTCGATTTGGATTTGATACTGGTGTTTGGATTTGGTTTGGATTTCTTATCCGGTGCTTGGTTTTGGATTTGGATTTGATACTCAAGGTTTGAATCTGGTTTGGATTTGTTTTAGATATAGTGTTCAACGACCCGAACCATTTGGATTTGGCAATACTATACGGGTACCCTTGGGTCCTCAAGTCCTACTATTGGGGGGTACCGTTGAGTCCTCCAGTACTCCTATTGGGGGTACCCTTAGGCCCTCAAGCCCTACTGTTAGGGGGTACAGTTAGCTCCTCCAGTCCTACTATTGGGGAGTACCCTTAGGTCCTCAACCCCTACTATTAGGGGGTACCCTTAGGTTCTCAAGCCCTACTAATAGGGGGTACTCTTCGGTCCTCCAGTCCTACTATTGGAGATACCCTTAGGTCCTCAAGTCCTACAATTAGGGGGTACTCTTGAGTCCTCCAGTACTACTATTGAGAGGTACCCTTGGGTCCTCAAATCCTACTATAGGGGGGTACACTTGGGTCTTCAAGTCCTACTATTGGGGATACACTTAGGTCCTCAAGCCCTACTAATAGGGGGTACTCTTAGGTCCTCCAGTCCTACTATTGGGGGTACCCTTAGGTCCTCAACCCCTACTATAAGGGGGTACCCTTAGGTCCTCCAGTTCTACTATTGGGGGTACCCTTAGGTTCTCCAGTCCTACTATTGGGGTACCCTTAGGTCCTCAAGCCCTACTATTAGGGGGTACCCTTGAGTCCTCCAGTACTACTATTGGGAAGTACTCTTAGGTCCACAAGCCCTACTATTAGGGGGTACTCTTAGATCCTCCAGTCCTACTATTGGGGGGTACCCCTAGGTCCTCCAGTCCTACTATTGGGGGTACCCCTAGGCCCCAAGCCCTACTATTAGGGGATGCCCTTAGGTCCTCCAGTCCTACTATTTGGGGGTATCCCAATACTAGGGCTTGAGGACCCAAGGGTGCCTCCTAATAGTAGGACTTGGGAACTTAAGAGTACCACCAATAGAAGGACTTGAGGACCCAAGGGTACCCCTAATAGTAGGGCTCGAGGACCTAAGGGTACCCCCTAATAGTAGGACTGTAGGACCTAAGAGTACCCCCTAATAGTAGGGCTTGAGGACCTAAGGGTACCCCCAAAAGTAGGACTGGAGGATCTAAGGGTACCGCCGAACAGTAGGACTTCAGGACCTAAGGGTAGCCCCCCAATAGTAGAACTGGAGAATCTAGCGGTGTCTCCTAATAGTAGGGCTTGAGGACCTAAGGGTACCCCCCAACAGTAGGACTGGAGGACCTAAGGGTACCCCCTAATAGTAGGGCTTCAGGGCCTAAGGGTACCCGCCAATAGTAGTACTGGAGAACTGAAGGGTACCCGCTAATAGTAGGGCTTGAATACTTAAGGGTACCCCCCAATATTAGGACTGGAGGACCTAATGGTACCCCCTAATAGTAGGGGTTGAGGACCTAAGGGTATCCCCTATATTAGGACTTGAGGACCCAAGGGTACCCCCTAATAGTAGGGCTTGAGGACCTAAAGGTACCCCAACAGTATGGCTGGAGGAGCTAAGGGTACCTCCAACAGTAGGACTGGAGGACCTAAGGGTACCCCCGAATAGTAGGACTGGAGGACGTAAGGGTTCCCCCAATAGTAGGACTGGAGGACCTAAGGGTACTCCCCAATAGTAGTACTGGAGGACTGAAGTGTACCCGCTAATAGTAGGGCTTGAAGACCTAAGGGTACTCCCAATAGTAGGACTGGAGGACCTAATGGTACCCCCTAATAGTAGGGCTTGAGGACCTAAGGGTACCCCCTATATTAGGACTTGAGGACCCAATGGTACCCCATAATAGTAGGGCTTGAGGACCTATAGGTACCCCCAACAGTAGGACTGGAGGACCTAATTGTACTCCCAACAGTAGGACTGGAGGACCTAAGGATACCCCCTCATAGCAGGACTTGAGGACCTCAGGGTACTCCCCAATAGTAGTACTGGAGGACTCAAAGGTACCCCCTAATAGTAGAGCTTGAGGTCCTAAGGGTACCCCCAACAGTAGGACTGGAGGACCTAAGGGTACCCCCAATAGCTGGGCTTGAGGACCACATACTGAACAGTATGTAGATGGATGTCTAAACAAATCCAAAACTATTTGGTAGATTTGTGCAAACCGAAAAACGAATTCAAACCGAACGCCAAATTTAAACTACAAATCCAAGCGAGCGCCCAAACCCTGGGTACAAACCACAATTCGAATCGAAATATATCATACAAGTCCAAATCTAAATCCAAACATAGCATACGAATCCAAATCCGAACCCAATTCCTAAGGGTTTGATGCCGAATTCAAATCTCGCTGAAGAATTGTTGCATCCCTAGGATCCTGGGAGGATCTAACCATAGAGGTACTCTACAACTTGAAAACCGCCCGGGCTTGGTAGCTCGTATCCTTATTGTGAAATTCGTGCCCGCGTACAAGGTACTTTTGACCAATAAATGGACTATAACTCATTAGTTTATTGGAGATCTGGGGGAGATATTTTAACGATAATCTCTCCTAGCCTAGACTAACATCCTCTGAAATTTTGGTTGAAATCGGATGAAAAATAATAAAGTTGGTTTCTGAGGGGTGGAGGGGGAGTGCTTAAATTACTTTTTTTTTGTTCTAGTATTATAGTCATGTTTAGTCGAATTAGTCGTTCAAAAATGATACTTTTGATTTATTTTGTTATTGTCAATTCGTAATCGATGAAAATCGTACATATTCAATCCTTAATAAAGCCATTTGTATTAATATATTGCGACTTGTTTCTTGAACCAGTGAAACAATAGGAATTTATAAAGAAAAAATGCCTAATTGAAGAATAACCTTCAAATTAGTAAAAAGAGACTAGCGAAATCATGCGACTCAGAATGAGCATGTTTGTGGATGGTGTGTTTTGACATAGATGAACCTAACACCATCAATCACACTCACACTAAGTTTTGAAAGGAAGTAGGTACTATGAAAAGTTTGCCCAAATTAATAGTTAAATGAAAACGTAATCGATAAGTTGAGTAAGATTCCATTAAACATATTTCTATTTTCTCGGAAATTGAGGACGATGTTGAAGAAAATGGCTGTCGATATTTTGTAGAGTTGCCATATCGCTTTAGAATGTGATTTTGTGCTGAGAATTATTCAGTTCCGATATATTATGGAACTATCGGTAGGTTTTCGGCAAATGAGTTTTCCAAATGATTAGTCATATATAATAAATTATTCGTGGCAAAGAAGAATCGCTCTTTTTTTGAGTGTATATCCTACGAATATAGAAATGAATTAAAACAGATGAAAAGAAATGCTAACCGGTTTAACGTTATGATCAAGATTTGTGGGACAGAATGAGAAATGTATTGATTTCCAATGCACATGTTGTAATAAAAACAAACATCAAAATTCCATCGCACTTTTTGATCACTGTTGTTGTCAGTGACCATAAGTTGAGTCTCGGAAGAACTGTGTCAACTCCTGGCTCCATTACCATGTTTTTCGATGACCAAACGCTTGTCCTCTGTGAATTTAACAATGAAGATTGACGAAGACATAATCATTTTTGGTGTGTCTAATTAACTAAATTTTCCTTCATGGCATTCAGTATTTGTTGAATAGCAAGAGAAGGTTGGAGAAAACGACTTGATTCGAAACTGTATAGCAATAGGAGGGACGTTTTCATTATTTTACTCCTCACTAGAGTTTCTTTTTTTGCAGTTCTAATTGTCCATGCCATGTGACGCATCTAAATTGGTATTCCATGTATGTTATGATTCTCAATTTTTGTATTGTTTTCTAGCCGGTTTTTGTTTTTTGTTAATCAGCCAAGTGCAAAGTCTCATTGAAGAGTAATGTAGGCGAGTCCATCATAGGATACATCTTGCTTTCAGATTTACATCCCTTTGAGAGTCATCTTTTATTCTGGTTAATAGCCAGAGGTAGAACACACCTCTAGTCTTGCTGAGGCAAATTTCACATAACATTGAGTTCAAACGAATATCGCAAATCAAACAGGTCGTTTGTTATAATCTCTCCATAACTAGCAGCATTGCCCACACGCTCGGCATCAATGATATTGAAGTAAAGGTAGAAAATTTATTCATGTTCTTTGCGTTGCTCATCTCTATTGCATTCCATCAAGCACTGCACTTTTTCACGTTAGCAGTTATTTCAGATAACTACTAATTGTCGTAAAAGACTATAATGCTGTTAATAGGGATCCAAGCAAACTGCTCAGCACCATCTCACCTTGCTGAACCCTACGTAGCGTACGAACTACTTACAAAAATAGAAGATTTTGTATAAATATCAATAAAGGATGTGAGGATCGAAAATCCGGATAGAACTTGAACTCGAGACGAAAGTACAATAGAAAATTAGACCCAGATAGAACTCTCTTCTTCTTTTAAAATGATTTTGGATTCGAACCAAAAATTTCTTCGGTTCAAATTCTCGTAATTCATGATCGCAAGCACATTTATTATATAAATAATGTGATAATAGTTAGAAAATACGAACCAAGTTTATCTATCATTCATGCATACGATTCTTTATCAAAAATACGAAATCCACAGTCACACGATATCATGAACGACTTCTTATAAAAAATTCAAGGCCTTTTTCGATCGTCAGCAATTCCTGAATAACTTTGCTTTATTGACAAGAAACGATTTCCATTTGACAAAAACGAATACTTTCCGCACATCATTAAACCAGTGTGCGTCCAATAATACATATTCTTCCCAGAAGGAGTACATGCATATGTTTTTGTGTAGAATTGAACAATGTTGGCAACATGAACCATCCAAGAGAACTGCACACAACGATCTTATTAACAAATGGAAAAGTGCTAGTTACTGGTGGACAAAAGGATGATGATATTTTAAGTAGTGCCGAATTGTACGATTTATCAACAGGAACTTGGACAACTACCGGTAGCATGAATAGTCAAAGGGAGGGGCATAGAATCTCTTTACTAACAAATGGAAAAGTGTTAGTTGCAGGTGGAAGTAATCGTAAAGATATGCTAAGTAGCGCAGAGTTGTATGATCCATCAACAGGAATTTGGACAACTACTGGCAACATGGATAGGGCGCGATATTCTCACACAGCATCCTTATTAACAAATGAAAAAGTGTTAGTTACAGGTGGAAGTGGTCATGTTGATATTCTAAGTAGCGCAGAGTTGTATGATCCATCAACAGGAACTTGGACAAATACCAGTGGCATGAATAGTCAACGAGAGGGGCATACAGCATCCTTACTAACAAATGAAAAAGTGTTAGTTACAGGTGGAAATGGTAATATTCTAAGTAGCGCAGAGTTGTATGATCCATCAACAGAAACTTGGACAACTACTGGCAATATGGATAAGGTGCGACACTTTCACGCAGCATCTTTATTAACAAATGGGAAACTGTTAGTTATTGGTGGAGTAAATACAGATGATATTCTAAGTAGTGCCGAAGTGTATGATCCATCAACTGGAAATTGGACAACTACTGGCAGCATGAATAAGGCGCGATACCATCACACAGCATCCGTATTAAGAAATGGAAAAGTGTTAGTTACTGGTGGAGAAAGTATTGGCCCAATCCTAAGTAGCGCAGAGTTGTATGATCCATCAACAGCAACTTGGACAGCCACTCGTAGCATGAATAGTCCACGATCGAAGCACACAGCATTCGTATTAACAAATGAAAAAGTGGTAGTTACTGGTGGAGGAAATTTTATTGATTTGCTTAGTAGTGTCGAATTATATGATCCATCAACAGAAACTTGGACAACTCCTGGTAGCATGAACAATTCACGAACTTGGCACACACTGACCTCATTAACAAATGGAAAAGTGTTAACTAATGACGAATGGTCAAATGGTAGTGTGGTTTAAACCGTGCAGAAATATATTAAACATTTCAAAAAAGCAAACACGACAAGCAGTTTTTGATGTTTCATACCGCTATTCTTGTTTGCGACCATTATCCCTCAAAACCCGACTATCTTAATAGTTGTTCAGCATTTCATGTTGTACTTCTGACTATTTTCCTTGGAATTTCTTTTTTGACCTATTATCACAACAAATTACGCAAATCTTCTGCAGTGGTTTTGTGACACACGATTGTTAATGAGTTCCGAATTATGACGAGAGGGTGTGGGTGTGTGAATTTGGGGTGTGGATATGGGTATAAGGTGTGGATCTGTGTGTGTGGATGCGGGTGCGGGTGTGGGTGTAGGTGTGGATGTGAGGTGTGGATGTGAATGTCGGTGTCGGTGTCGGTGTTTGGGTGGGTGTGGGTGTTTAAGGAGATTATACCCACACCCACACCCACACCCACACCCACACCCACACCCACACCCCACACCCACACCCACACCCATAAGTAACATTCAACATGAAAGCATCATGGTATGAATGTGATTTTGAGTATCACCAAAGAGATGTACTACAGCCACACACACACCCACCCAAAAATTTTTTGTCATCGCTGTATGCTATCATGACGGCATTTGTGGGTTCACTTACCATATTCCACTCTTACATACACCCACACCTCCAATCAATTTTAGTTTATTTAGTTTAGTTTTGTACATGAAAATTTCACGTATAATACAGTTTCACCATCCGCGTTGGAAAAAAGTGACACCTGCAAAAAGAAAAATTTTTTTTCTCAAAATTGAATATTGGGTTCCATGTCAACTCGAGCATCTCTGTATAAATAATTCGCTGAATAAATTAAGATGCTTCCGATCTCTCAATTTAACTTTCGTTACGTATTGGGAAAACGATGAAGGATCCTAGATAATACATCAATAGGACAATATTAAAAGCAATTGTTTTCGCCTATATACATTTTCTTATCAACCGCATGCGCAAACGTGTTTTTTATTGTTTTGTTATTCACAGAAAAGACGAACGCATACTTTTTCTTTTATTGACGTTGAAGTTTGTACTTCACTGAGGAAAATGTGGTTAACAATTTTCTTTTGTGTAACACTTTTGTACATTATTTATCGTCTCATTAAGTTTTGGATCATCAATCCATGGAGCATTCAAAGAGATTTTTCACGCCAAGGTGTTCCTGGAAGATATATACCAATTGTCGGGGAAATATTGCATCGTCATCAAGCCATTCTTGACGATAAACCATATAGTTATGTGGAACAAGCAGCTATCAAATTTGGTGATTACTATCATTCATCATTCGGCCCATTTCCTTGCCTACATACAAGCGATCCAGGACTTATTGAGAGTGTTTTAAAGACGAATAGTCGATTCTATCATAGAGCCAAACTTGGACGAGCGATCCTTTCAGCGTTCCTTGGTTATGAAAATGTCTTATTGGCTGAAGATGAGAATCATACACGCCATCGGCGACTAGTTACTCCAGTTTTTCAACATCAAAATCTTAATTCAATGATATCATCTATGGCTAATATAACGTTGAGTTTTCTCGAGAAATGGCGAATAACTAACAACGAAAAATCTTCTCCATTGACATTAGATATTTTGAAAGAAATGTCAAATTTGACATTGGATATTGTGACAGGTTGTGTATTCGGTGTCGAAGCAATGCAAGATAGACATATTCATGAATTTATCTATGAAAATCTTAAAGTAGCAACCAATGAAATGGAAAAACGAATCTATAATATGACAATTATTATTCCGATAATTAAAGACTTACCATTACCAGGAAAACGACGTATTGATAAGTGTAGACGAGATATTAAAAACATTACTTTAAAGATAATTAATCAACGACGACAAGGTTTAACAAAAGCAACTTGTAAAGGTGAGTTCTTATTGTAACGTTAAAAATAAATTTTAACTGAACTTGAATGGCATTGGTTAGGACCCGATCTACTTGACCTTCTTTTGGGACCACATGGCGACGATACGAGGCACAAATTTACAGATGAAGAGGTTTCAGATGAGGCACTTACATTTGGTACGTACCAAAAGATTCAATTTTCACTCTTGAAAAAACTCATGTTTCTTACAAAGGTCAAAAGCATTATCCTCCTTTCCAGTATATGTCTCTAGAGAGAGCCAGCTGTCTATCTTGTGTTATGGAACATTCTTCTTTCTTTAATCGATAGTCGAAATCAGCACGTAATATGCAGTGAAGATAAAACCTACTCGGTTTCTTAAAATGCTGATAGAATTCTTTGAAATAGAAATAAAATGTTACTCAACATTTTCTATCGAAAAAGCTTCTAACAGAGAGAAATCTTAATGTATCCGATTTTTCTGTTTGAAGATCAAGCACTTCCCTCAGAAGTAAAGACTAGCATTGGATTAAATTCATTGCAACATTCATGTTCATCAACATTTACTAGATGCTACGATGAGGATCCTTTATTATGTCAAAGGCATTTGGAAGTTTCAGAGCATAGGCTAAAAAATGCTTTCTTTCTGGCTTCGAAGACATTTAAATGATTGTTATCCATGCGAGTGTGACATTTGTTTACATTGCTAGCCATAGTAGATGACTATTCATTTGAAGGAAAACATAATTCACATGGACTTCATTTCTAGTACTTGCTGGACATGAAACTACAGCAACGCTAATGACATGGGCACTACACGATCTTGTCACAAATCCCGATGTATATGAACAATGTCAAAATGAAATCAATACGATTTTCAATGAGCATAAAGGATTTGAAACAACAATGTTATCACATCTAAAATATACAGAAGCAGTCCTAAAAGAGACATTACGATATCATCCACCTGTCACTTTAGTAGCTCGAACAGCAACTGCAGATAATACAATAGTAGCTAGCGATGGTAAACAGATTCATATTAAAAAAGGAATCGATGTGATCTTGGATCTCAATATTATTAGCCGGTAATTTAAAATCAATGCCTTGACTTAAAGATATTGTCTTCCATTAATATCGATTTACAGTAAATGTTTGATTATTTTTTTCATTTAGCTCCGAAAAATATTGGCAGGAACCCAACAAATTTAATCCGTCAAGATTTTTTGCGCGCCACTCGAATATGATGTATCCGTTTGGATTTGGACAGCGCTTATGTATTGGACAGAATTTCGCCATGCAAGAAGCTAAAATTATCTTGGCGATGATGCTACATCAGTTTCGTTTTGCGTTAGTTCCTGCTCAAAAAATAGTTCCTGGCCCAATTACATCCAGGTCTAGAAATGCTTCCGTTTTTTTCCAATATCACTATCAACATATAACATTATTGTTCATTTTAGACCTAAATATGGCTTATCAATGCGAATCTGGGAAAGATAGACTATGTAGATCGAACCTTTCAGAAACGTGATTATAACTATCAACTTTTAAGCTATTATTCTTTCTGTATTCATTTTTGAAATTAAAATCAAACAATCGATTTTCACATAATCATTATTATTATAGAGAACAAGCCAATAAGATTTTATGCAATGAACTTTCAGTACTTAAGGTCTATGGGCGATGCATCAGCAATACCCGGAGAAGCAATAAAGATTTATTGCTTCCTTAAGTTGCTCATACTTCTTTGATTCTATAAAATTTCACATACAAATAGGAGGATTGATCCATCGACCATTATCTTATAAATTGTTTAGGACTATCTTGATGAATGCATCCACGTTTGTATACATTCGACATGTTTTATTCAAATAAAACATAATTACATTTCTTTACAATGTTCGAGATCTCATTTTGAAGTAAACAATGTCTAGAATTCATCAGCCGAACAAAACTACTAACACAACTATGAAAAATCAAAACATATCTTCGAAATACAACTGGCCAAGAATGATTATTATCTTTTGCATTGATAAATATAAAAAAAGGCTATCAAATTGATATTGGGTGTGGGTGTGACGAAGAAGAACATTCATCCAGGCACCCACTCACATCCACACCCAAGAATTTTTCAAAAATAGTTTCGAATAAATGCGGAAATCTCGGATTTATATCCGAGAGCATGTGTACTTCAAAAAGTCAATGAGACAAATCGGTCATCCTAGAATGTCTGGATATAAAAATTTTCCTGGCAAACCTTCTCTATAAACCCTTGAATTCCATTGGCTACTGCTCAACCAATAGGACTTAGGAGCGTATACAGCTCGGATTTGAACTCCTCGGCTTAACTTACCCTCAGAAATTCGTTTTTCCTATAACTTGATTTCTATTGGTCAATGTTCAACCAATGGGTCTTCGAGGCAAATGGAGTACAGATTCGAGTTTTCCATACTAGAAAACCATCGATTAGGGCGTGGGTGTGGGTGTTGGTGGGTGTGGGTGTGGGGTGTGAGTGTGGGTGTGTGTGGGTGGTGTGGGTGTGGGTGTGCGTGTGTGTGGGTGTGTGGGTGTGGGTGGGTGTGGGTGTGGGTGAGTGTGGGCGGGTGTGGGATGTGGGGTGTGGGTGTGGGGTCTGGATGTGGGTGTGGCTGGGTGTGGGTATGGATGTGGGTGTGGGTGTGGGTGTGGGTGTGGGTGTGGGTGTGTGGGGTATGGGGTATGGGGGGTCGGTCTTGCTCTTCTATACACCCACGCCCACATCCACACATCCACACCCACACCCAACACCTACAAACACACCCACACCCAGAAAGTCTAGTCGATTTTCGTCAACATTGTTCACAACTCATCATCGTTTTTATTATTCATCAGATCAGTTATCTAATCCTCATAATTTGGTATTGCAGTGCCTGAATTGTTCGAAATATAGCAGTCGTTGAGTTAATTCGATGGATAATAATTTGGTTCATCAACCTCAAGTGGCTTAAAGCGGATAAAAAGCGTGAAAAGATTAGCAATAACTATTGAATACGAATCTTTTTCGTTGTTCAGACTCGCACTATGACTTAGCAATTTATATCTCATATCGAATTTCAGAAAGTATTGTTCAATTTACAATACATAAACTTACTAATGTTCATCTATACTCAATCGATATTGAATCTGATAAACTCGCCAAAAAGTATTTACATTCATACCAGCATTTATTCAGATGCAGGCTATTCATCATAATAACTTAGCTACTGTTCTCCTACTAGACATATAATATCTTGCGGTTCGATCAACATCTTTATTTCGCATAATCCAACAACTATGCCAGATCATTCTTTTTATTCGACCAAAAATAATATAATGGTATGGGAAGATGTGATTTCTGAACTACGTCCTTTTCAGCATTAGAATCTTTTTGATATATACCACATTTCTAGTATTTTCAATATTGAACAATTTTTACATTCGAATGACATAAACTACATCCACATACAACTGAATGTTTAGTTCATCATCAACCAATACATGATGATTCTGAACCGAAAGATTGCCTTATTTGTTTTGTCATCATCGATGATTATTATTGTTGCAACTGTTCGGATGCCACTCATCTTTATAAAGATGAAGATATTGTATGGTCTTTGCAAAAGACAATGCACTATACTTATAATTAAGCTCTCGATAAATTCATGACCATTAATCTATGGTCATGTGAACTTGATTTACTTCTAAATATCTAAAATACAAATCGAGATAAACATGTTTGCGAGGCTCTGATCTTGTACGTAATTAATGATCTCTTCGCATCAAGAAATCTATTTTTCTTTTAAACAAGTCAAATCTTTCTAGACAGACATCTTCACTATCACTAGTTTAAATAAAATGATATCTAAACAAACAAATGATTTATCTTCATTCCTGATATTGGCTGATAATGTTGGAAAACATATTTATTTAATGCTTACTACATCTTGTTATAATATCATTACTCAATTGATATCGGATTTATAGGTACAAATATTTTCGTCCCCATTCTGACTTTTACTAGCAGTGAACTTCCATTTTGAGATTATTTGACAGTAGATTATAAAGTCGCAAAAGATATTTTTGTATGTTGCATCAAATAGAGAGAAGAATTATTCATGTGATAGAAACGCTAGATCGTGCTATACAATGACTTTTTGTATTCTACATTCTTAAACTATGACGATTCTACTTAAATTTGGTACACTTCACAATAAAAAGTAATGATGTCAACAACAGTAAGTGAAAATGTACAGTTGAAGGTTCAATATGTTGACAATGTCTGTTTATTTCTTTCCAGGGTATGAAATGTACAATATCGCTTGAAATGCTACTAAAACACGATTTTCTTTGCGATGGTCCAAAATGCGGAAGTTCCACACAATCAATTGGAACGCGTCTTAATCACAAAACTAATTCATTTTTCCAATGAGTATTACTAAAAATTGTACCTTTGGAGTGGTCCACATATATTACATCATCACTAGGGAGTGGGTGTGGGTAGAACACTATGATAACGACATCAATAGTCATATCGTATCATTTCTCTCTTAGATAAAAACAAGACGCAAGTGGCGTAATCTTGTATTACAAAGTTAACAATCAAAGCGAAGGATGATCGGATTGAAAGTGATACAGAATGAAACAAAGAAAATTATATTTTTTTGTTAGCTAACGCACTGTGAAAGAAAATAAAACAAACAGTTCAATTTATTTCCTTAAATTTCGTTGTTTTTTGTTTGTTACTTAATAATAGGTAACAGCCAACAATTTTTAGTTATGCATTTTAATCAATAATTGTACAGTTCACTTTTGAGTGCATATTATTGAGACGCGGACTTGAGTGGAACTTATCTAGTGCAAAATTTTTTCTGCAAATAATCAAAAGAAAGTGTACTGAAAAAACAAATTATTTTATTCTATTGTCTTTTCGTTTCAATTGTTCTTGAACAGTTGAGGAAATGTTATTGTTAAAGAATACCAACAAATTCTTGAGTGTCTATGTGAAAAAATAAGAAGATGAATATGAGAGACATGAGAATATGATGAAAATCACCGAGTTATTTCTTAAGGCATCAGCGAGATATTGTGCCCCAGCATCACCGATTAGATTGCCACCATAAACATTACCGAGGATCAATGTGGTGAGTGTCTATATGTAGAAAAGAAGATAAATATGAGAGAGATGCAACTAGGATGAGTATCACAATGTTATTTCGTAAGGCATCAGCGAGATATTGTGCCCCATCATCTCCGATTCGGTTATTCGAAAGGCTCAGTCTGGTGAGTGTCTATGCGTAGAAAACATGAACATAAGAGAGATGAAAATACGATGAGAATCACCTTGTTATTTCTTAGCGCATCCGCCAGATGTTGTGCACCCGCAGCTCCGATTTGATTGAAATGAAGGTCTAGCGTGGTATGTGTCTATGTATAGAGAAGTAGGTAAATATGAAAGAGATGAAAATAGAATGAGAATTACAGTGTTATTTCTTAAGGCATCAGCAAGATGTTGTGTCCCATCATCTCCAATCGGATTATGTGAAAGGCTCAGTCTCGTAAGTGTCTATGTGCAGAAGAGAAGATGAATATGAGAGAGACGAAAATCAAATGAGAATTACTTTATTATTTCGTAAGACATCAGCGAGATGTTGTGCCCCAGTCGCTCCGATTTGATTGCTACCAAGATCCAGTGTAATGAGTGTCTATGTTTCGAGAAGAAACGCCAATATAAGAGAGACGAAAATAGTATGAGAATAACCGTGTTATTTCGTAGGGCATCAGCAAGATATTGT